CATTGTTCCACGTGCAACACTCTGAGCTGTACTTTCTGCTCTGAACACACTGAAACTCTACTTGAGGCTACAGCAATTTCCATGCAGGAGGCAAAGGAGAATCTTGTATCTGATCTAATACAGGATAAATCAATGTGCACTCATTTATTGTTTATAGCTCCCATCAGCTCAAGGAGAGACACTGTCCTAGAGTTTCAAGGCTATCCAGGCTGCCTTTGTAGATGCAAACAGACACTGCACTTAGGAGGTATTTTGAGAGCTCTGTTCAAACATTTCCCAGGAGTTCAGGAGGGATGGGAAACCACTAAACCCTGGCAGGTTCTCATCACTCTCAGGACAGGATTTTGGGAAAGGCCACGCCAGGTTCACATCCCCCTTCTTGCCTTCTGTAGAAATTCAGTCTCCTATTAGTCACTGCCCCCAGGCAGGGGCTGGGGAGCTTAGCTGGAGTTCCTAAGGAGATGTTCAGATAAAATGTGCTAGGGAAGGGCAGCTCACATCCATTACTGTGCATCCAGATGATGCAAGAGCTTCTCCCTGTCTCCTTCAGCTGCTGGAGCTGCAAAGAAGAATTACTCAGCCCCTACAGAGCACAGTCAGAAAACCATCAGCACCACAGGGAGCACATTGCTCTGGATGTGCTCTGAATTCCTGTCCACTTTGGATTCTGACCCTTTGTGGTGGCTGCAGATGGGAGCTCCCTGGAAGCCCTGTATCCCAGCGCAAGCCAAGCAAGGCAGAGTTTAATATTCCTCCCCATGCAAGTATTTTCTCTCATTAAATGCTTAAGAGCTGGAGGATTTGGGAGATTAATTTTTGTAGCTGGACATTTTCTTTAAGAATGCAATTTTCCACACAATTTTCTCCTTTAGCTCTCTTTTATTCTAACCCCAAGACACCCACTTACCCAGGAGAGAACTCTCCTGCAAGGTCTGGAAAGGAATTCACTCCTGCACTTCAGTCCTTTCTTTTCACATCTGCTACAGGCTTGCTTTCAGAAAACCCTGTTTTTACTTATTTCAAGCCAGAAACTTGTCTCCAGTTCCAGGCAATCAGCACCAAGAATCGACAACTACAAATTCATTTATCCAAAGACCTGACTGGAACAAAGCCAGAACATGGATAGTATTTTTTTTTTTTTTTTTAATTTAAAAGCACAAGAAGTTCCTTGAAAACCACGAGGGCTGATACACTGAACCCCACAGGTACAGAGCACTCAGTGACATGGTTGTGACAGGCTGGAGAATGGGCCACAATTTAGAGGAGTTTGTGCACACAGGAACACAAAGCAAGGGTGAGATTTAATTATTAGCAGCCTCAAATATGTGCCTGAACAAGGGGCAGCTACAGCCACTTTGTCTTTCCCCAGGTGACACCTGGAAGAGGATGGGGGGTCCTTCACTGCAGACAGTCCCAGCCTGTTGTGGGCACACAGCTCAGTGAAAGTTTTGTGTTTAACCTGCCATTGAATCCCTTGGAGCTGATGATGGCCAGGCACAGTAATGAGGGAGCTGTTCCTCCAAATTCTGGCTGAATTTGGAGAGTTTATGAGAACTTTTGAGAGAGTTTATGAATTTATGAGAGTTTAGGCAAAGGGAGGACCAAGCCAGAAGGAAAGAGCCTCCTGACCTTCCCTGTCCCCATGTCCTCACCTTCACCCTGGCAGGCTCTCTCTGCCCTGACAAGCACTTCTCACACCTTTTCCCTGGAAAAGAAAAGCTTCTGACTGAAAACATGACACCACACAGTTCTGTTAATGCCACTCCAGTCCTCAGCAGCCAAGGGGAGGCAGAGCAGAGGGGACACATTGGATTCCTCACAGCCTCCACGAGACACAACTTTGCTGCATTTCACAGCAGATTTTCTGTGCAGGCAAAGAGCAAAAGCTGGACTACACAGCCTGGTTTTTAAACAAGCTTACTTTTGCCAGTGCTGGTGTCAGTGTGCTCCCTCCCCGATTTAAGCTTCCCACTTCCCAGAGATAAAGGTGCCTTTCAAGTTGTTGATGCCAGCCTTCCCCTCCTAATCCTTCATCCCACTCTGACTTCAGAAGGCTCTGTATCATTCCCTATTGCTTCCATAGCATAAGCTTTATATTCCTGCAGCAAATCCAACTTTAACAGTGATTAAAACATACAAATAACAGACATTTCATTTGAAGGATGCCAGGAAATGAGTTCTCAAAAACCACACAGCTATCCTGTAAGAAGCACAAAATTGGTCCCTAAAGAACTTCCCTGTATTTCAATGTGGAGAATTTTATTTATTAATACATTCATTCTCATGCCTCTGCTTTAACACTGTCATGCTGGCTTCAAGCAATTGTTAAGCCTCACACAACTTCTTCTTTGAAGGGATGGGAGGCGGGGGAAAGAAAGAGGGAAGAGTGATTAAAATTAGTCACAAGCAATCCTATAAATACACCCGTGGATGGAGAAAGAAATCTCTCTTCCATTTAACTTAAAAATAGAGGGCTAAACTTTAAAAGACAAACAGATGGGATGAAGCAAGGATAAAACAGAGCTCAGAGAAAGTCAACTGGGCAATTTAGTCAGGGATTGTATTGTGGGGTGGCAGAGGAGGAGGAGGAGGAGAAGGGAGGAAGAATCTTGATAATCCAAAATTAATTCCAGAGTTGGGAAGCCATAAGGGAACTCATCTTATTGCAAGAGGAATCAAATCTCAAAGGCAGTATGGCACAGAGGTATAATGTGGAAAAAAGGGATGCCTGGCCAGGAAATGATGCATTTGTTCCAAATGTCCAGCCTGTGGCAGCAAGGGCTGGAGCAGGATCACAAGACCTGTGTGTGTGCACCTGCAGCTGGAAGTCACGGGGATGTGCTGGACAAAAGTGCACAGATACGTCCATGAGGGGTAACAGCAAGCAGAAACTCTGAACATGCTCAGACACATCTGCTGTCACATCCAGCCTGCTGCAGGGTGAGGGTTTCAATGAAGACACACTGAGGAGAAAAACAAAGCTTCTGAGGGATGATAGCTGCTGTTTTCCCCGGTGCTCACAGGCTGGCTGTGCCCCACTGAACAGCATGTATTGTCTGAAAGTACTCCAGGTTCTTTGGTAAGAGCACAATAAAGATGTGGAAGGGATTTATCAGCGCTTCCTTTCTTGGAAAGATCAGAATGTAAACTAGAAACAGACAAAACATCTCACAGAGTGCAGATGTTTATGGTGCTAGGAAAACATGAGATAAGTGCAGTGGGACAGTGCCAAGGGAAGGAGAAGCTCTGGGACAGCGTGCAGGACAGGGATTAAGGTCACAGGGGGAAGCACAAAGCTGTGTGTTAGCAAGAGCACTGGAAGGACCTGTCCGGGCCCCGCGGTGTCACACGGGGCTGTGAGCAGCAAGCGGCGGCTCCTGACCGGCTGTCACCGGGCAGCCCCGGGACACCGAGCCACAGCCCCGGGGGTCTCACCGGGACAGAGGGACCAGCACCGGGCAGGCACCGACAAAGGGCTCTTACTTTCGTTCGGCAGCTCCTCCCGATCCAGCTCATCCAGAGGGGCCGAGGCGCTGCTGCCGCTGTCGTCCAGGGTGAGGATCAGCGGAACATCATCGTCCATGCTGACCGCCATGCCGTCCGTGCCGCGGGCTGCCGGCGGGGCTCTCGGCGGCTGTCCCGGCAGCGCTACCCGGCCCGCTCGGCGGGGCACGGGGCCGCGGCGCTGCGCGCACCCATCCCCGGGCACCGCGGGCTCCGTGCCGGCGGGGCTGCGCTCACACGGCCGCACGGCGGGCCCGCGGCGCCCGGCGATTCCCGGCCGGCTCCCGCCGCACCGGCAGCGGCATGGCGCGCCGCCCCGGGCACGGCGGCTCCCGCAGCGCCCCGCAGCGCCGGAACTGCCCGGAGGGTTTTTGTCAACTGCGCGATGCCACAAGGTCACGGATTTCTCTAAAAGGTGACGGGAAGGGGAAGTGAAGCAGGCCCAGGACAGCGCCACGGGGATAACTCACAGCCGCCGTCCCCGTCCGGCCAGAGGGACACCGGCACGGCGCTGTCACCGCGATGGGGAGGCCCGGCCCGGCGTCCTCCCCGCGCCCTCCTCCCAGCCCTGGGTGAGCCTGCTCCTCACCAGCCCGCCGTGCCCGCGGCCCCGGGACTCGCCGGGCCCTGCGAACCCCCCGGGACCGCCCGGCCCGGGACCCCCGGAACCCCGCGCCCCCGGCCCGGCCCCTCCGAACCGGCGCCCGCAGCGACGCGGCTCCTCCGCCCCGCCCCTCGCCTCCCATTGGCTGCTACAGCGCGGGCCCCGCCCCAATAGGCGGGGCCTCAACTCTCCCGCCAATCCGCGCACCGAGCCTGCTCCCACACCCTGCCCGAGGCTCCGCGTTCATCCCGCCTCCCCTCCCCGCCTCACGCAGCTCGCCTCGCCATTGGATACAAGCGCTGTCCCTCAAGGCAGATACAGGTGCTGATTGGCCCGAGGTGGCGGGGGTCGGCTCTGAGGGAAAGACGCGCGGGCTGCCATTGGCTGGACCGAGGCCACGCCCCGAGGTCAGGAAGGAGAGGAGCGGTCACCGGGCAACGGCGGCAGCGGGCGGGAGCGGCCCGGGGCCGAGGGGAGCAGGGCCGGGACGGGGACCGGGACCGGGACCCCGCCGCCCCCGGGCTGGACAGCCGCTACTGCCCGCTGCTCCCGGACCGGGACAGCCCCTCTCCCCACGCCGCACGCAGCCGGGCAAAGCGGATTCGCGGCCTCCCTGTCCGCACCCGGCTGGCGGCAGGAACGAGCCCGGCCCCGAGTGCAGCCCAGCCGGGCCCCGTTGCAGGAGGTGCCGTGAGGGGTACCAGGAGCACTGGCTCTCAGAAGGCCCTGCAGCAGATGAAGCCTGCTAAGGTCAGGCTGCTGCCTGACCAAGGCTCTGCCAGCTCTGCTGGCTTTTGGAGCGCACCCGCTACATCCCAGCACTCTGCTGATTTCGGTGGAAACAGCCCTGCAGCAACACAGCTTCAAGCCCCAAGTAAGCAACGAGTCAGGGTGGAGTCAAAGGTGGAAAGTGAGGTTTATGTCAGTGCTGAGCAGGCAGAACAATGAGAGCAGCAGCAGGGAGGATCCTGAGCTCGGTTCAGGCCTCTGTATTGACAGCTCTGGCCTGAGCTGAGCACCAGTGACGCTGGACAGGCCGGATCTGGAGGGAGGAAACAACCAAACATTTCCCCCACCTCCTTTCATTCAGATTTAATGTGGGTTTTCTTCCACGCGAGCACCAGCTCCAGCAGTAACAGAGCAGCTTTTGCTTTCCTGCTGGGCTGTACAGCTCTGGCAGAACAAGAGGACAGGGCAACAGTAAAGCACCAATGTGAGTGAGAGTCATGGAACAAAATGCAAACAACCCATTTATACTTAACCAACATTGTACTCATGTTGTACATAGCAAGGAAGTGCCAGTTCTGCGCTCCTGGAAGGCCTTGGTGACAACCTGGGCCAGTGTGGGACAGGAAAGTGTGGCTCATGAGATGACCTCTAGTTTCCCCCACATTCCTTGGACACTGAGTGCAGCAGTGGGGGTACAGTGGCCAATCCTGGCCACACAGGCCACTATTAACTTGATTTTCAGATAAAATATCTCCTTATTTTAAGAGGCTTCCTTTTTCAAGGACTCCAGCTCTCCAAGATCCCACTGGTTCAGTTCTCTGTTGCTTCGATTCCAGGGCAGTTCCCCCAGTTTGCTGAGGACTCACCTCGCTGGATCTCGCACCAGCTGCTGGAACAGCATTCCTGCTCCCGTGTCAATCCTCAACCCTCTTGTCTCCATCTAGTGTCCAAATCACATCTGGACTCTCCCAGCCCAGTGAGACCTGCAGCCTTCACCGCTTGCACGCCACTGTGCCCACATCCCAAACACAGCTGGTCAGGCTTGGACTGACACCAGCACTCCCAGCCCCTCCTCTGACAAAGCCAAATTGTTTCCTGTCCCTCCAGTTTCACCCCAGCTGGAGAAGAGCTGCAGGATTGCCTCAGTGGGAAGCACAGGGAGAGATCCGAGAGCTTGGAGCAAATCACAAGGATCTTCACTCACCTTCTCAGGTTTTAATGTCAGGTTATTCTTGCTACCTGTCAGGCCAAGAAATGAGCAGAAGTTCCTCTCAGTGCAGGCTCCTGGCTGGCTCCAGCTCCAGCTGCTGAGGGGTCAAGGGCCAATCCTGCTGCTGTTCAAGGTGCAATAAAATAATTTCTGGGGGCAGAATGATGCTCTTAACCTGGCTTGGCGTGCCCTTGGGTGAATTTGAGCATTTCCCTCAGCATGGGAGTTACCACACTCCCCCTAATCTCAGCAGCTCTTCACTGCAGGCTCCCTCCCCAGGGAGCAGTGACTGCAAATCCAGGTCACCCACCCCATGTCCTTTATGCATCTCCAAACACAGAGCTGCTCTTTCCCAGCTCAGCAAAGGAAGTGGAGGAGCTTTGGAGGTGCCCAGACCACTCAGCAGCACTCCCCAGATCCCAGATTTGTCTTGGAGCACTTATTTGGTGACACTGTGGCACTGCTGAGAGCACCTCACAACCCTCAGCCACAAAATTAGGGATTTACTCAGCACCTCCTCACACCACGAGCTGCCAAAATCCCTGTGCAGATCATTCTCTGTCACAAATCCCATCCAGCCTGGGACCGTCCCACTGCCATCAGGATGCAGGGCAATGCTTCCCTCACCTCTGTGCTCGTCCTCCCTTGTCCTGCTTTGTCAGAGGAGTCCATAAGGTGTTGGTGGCACAAAGCATGTACAGCAGGGAGACACCAAGGCACGTGCTGTGCATAGAGGCAGAGGGAATGGAGCTCATTTCCTGGTGAAGGGAAGCTTTGGGAGTGCCTCAGCAGCCTCTCAATACCTGCAAAGAGGAGGCAGCCGTGAGGGTTGGGCCAAGGTTTGTACAGAATGAGAGAACAGACACAAAATCAAACTAGAAAGGCTCTGACTGGATAAAGGGAGAATTTTCACCCTGAGCACAGTAGAGCAGTGGGAAGGAGGCCAGAAAGGCTGTGCAGCCTCTATTCCTAGGCATTTCTACCACCTTGGAGTGCCTCGAGCAGGCCAGACTAGGGATGTCCTGCATTCCCACAGGCAGGATGGAGCAGGACGCCCATCACCACACGTGCTCAGCAAAGGTCCCTCAGACCCCAAGTGCCCCAGCCACACTCCGCCGAGACCCCACTCTAGCAGCACCCCCTGTTCTGGGAGCTGCATGGCCCCTGCCTGTCCCTGCAATGTCCGTGTACCTGTGCTGCACTGTGGGCACTCCTGTCTCCTACTGCTCCCACCTCCCTGCTGGATTTCCCAGACAGAGGAACCTCCTCTGACAACCCCTGGACATTTTGGGAAGCAGCTGCTCCCACCAGGCTCTCCTGCTCCGGTGCCCTGGGGCTGTGCCCTGAACCGGGAGGTCACTGCTCCCAGCACTGCGGTCACCTCTGCTCCTGGTGTGTCTCCCAGCATGGAACAGCCCCATCCTTCGTTTCCAGCCACGGAAAGGCACAGGGTCCTCGTGGGCTTGGTCACAGAGAGGCCTCAGCTAGACTAAGGCTGTATGTACATCCAGAGGGACACTTGGCATCACTTCCAGGGGGGTCTGGCAGTGCAGCCACCTGCTGCCTTGGCATTCTTGGGCACGGGAGATCCGGACACGCTGTTGGACCGAGCCCTCACCAGAGAGCCCTGGGGGGCAGCGGGGGTTGTTGGAGTGCTCCGGTTCTTCCACCTTTCTGTGCCGAGGTTGGCAGAAGGGTGAATCCCGTCCGGGGGGGTGCTCAGCCGGTTGACAGACTGGGAACGTGTTCTGGCAGGAGCACCCCAGGCTCTGGAGCAAGCGTCGCTGCGGGGATGCCTCCGGCCGCAGGACTTCTCCGTGTGGCCGGGCTCGGACGCGGCCGGAGGCGCGGAGGCCGGCGGGTGGACGGCTCGCAGGGGAGCGCCCCGGCAGCGTGGGGAAAGGCCAGGCTGGGTCTGGGGAGCCGGCGGGGGGCTCCAGAGCAGCGAGTGGAGCTTGGCTACATCCTCCTTCCTCATCCGCGGAGCCGCCCGGGCAGGACCCGCGGGCTTGGCAGCAAACAGGGACTCGTCACAGAAGGACGGAGCGTGGCTTCGGGACCTTGGCGGGCACAAGCGGAGAAACACGGGCCGGTTACAGCGGGGATTGCCAGGGGGGAGTGACCGAGAGCCGGCGGGCCGGGGGAGTGAGGCGCTCCCTAGGGCGGCCCGGGGACACCGAGGCGGAGCGCGCCCCGGACCGCGAGCGGCGGCGGAGCGCCCCGGGGCACGGCTCACCTGCACTGGCTGCCGGGCCGGGAGCCGCCGGCCGCGGGGGCCGCCCAGGGCGGCGGGAAGGCGGGCGGCGGCGGGCGGGCCCCCGCGGGCCGGCCGAACAGCGACTCGTCCACGAAGGACGGCCGCACCCGGCGGCGGCCCCGGGGGCCCCGCGGAGCGCGGGCGGCGGCGGCGGCCGAGCCTCCCAACGGGGCCGGACCCGCCGCCCGCATGGCCGCGGCCCCGGGGCGGAGCGGAGCGGGCCCGGCCCCTTCCGGAGCCGCCCCCGACACGCGGTTCCGCCGCCGCTACCGACATGGCGCCGCGCGCCCGCCGCCAGCCCCGCGGAGCGCCGGTACGGAGGGGCGGGAGCGGGCGGGCCCGAGTGAGACGTGTCCCTGCTCCACGTGTCCCTGTATCCCGTGTC